TATTTATTCATATCTGTTTATCTAAATAATCCAAAATTGCTTGAATATCTAGATAATTTGACAGATATTTGGATAATTATCTAGATATTAATAGTAAAGCGGATATCCAAATAAGTTTAGATGTGGATATCTGATGGATAAATTGATAAACAGATAATAGATAGGAACACTATTGATAGTTATTATTTGTAGGTCTCAATTTTGTTGGACTTGAACAACAGGAAATCTTACGTCATTTCATAATGAGTTTTCTATACTATTTTATAGTGGCTTAATATGTGTTATCAGTACGTTATTTTGTAATATGATTTTTTGATATTTCATAGTGGTTAGTTAGATTAGGATTAGTGGTCAAGGTTATAAATAGGGAACACTATTGAAATATTTGTGCTTAGTACTGTACCTGTTGTTATAAAAATAGAGCATATAATGTTAGATATTATCTTGATGGAATTGAAGTTGTTTATTATCAAAATTTGCACTTGACTACTGGAAGTGGAGCTAAAAAAGATAAACATATAGTATCTATTTGTTATCAACAATCTGCAGGGATGGGAAATATTGTAGAGTTGAATATTGCTATAAATGAAATTGAAAAAAGAATGGATGCAAAGCATTTATTTACTATTAAAAATCATTAGAGATGGGAACACTGATAAAATATTTATGGAATTGGAATTGAAAAGAATGAATATGAGATATTTATTTATCAACAAAAAGCAGCAGAGTTGAAAATGCTAGTGAAATATGTTTGGATTGTAGAATTGGAGTTGAAAAGAACTAGCATAAGGTATTCATTTGTTGTCAATAATTAGTAGATAGGACATGCTTGTGGAATGAATAGTCTGCTATTTTTAGAAATCAATGTTGAAAAGAATAAACATAGGATATTAATTTATCATCAAAAAGTAGCAGAATTGAGCAATATTAGTGTAATTAGATTGGCATACTTGTGAAATAGATATTCTTGGTGATCATTATTTTTATAAAATTAGAGTTTAAAAGGACAAACATGAGGCAATCATTTATTATCAAAAAGCAGTAGAGTTGAGTAATACTAGTGTAATATTGAAAACTGTCACCTTAATTGAATTGGAGCTAAAAAAAATAGAAGTTATTCATTTATTGTCAAGAATTAGCAAAGATAGAACATGCTTACAGAATGAATAGTTTTAAACTTGGTAATTGCAATTGAAGTTGAAAAGGGTAAACATAGATATTTATTTATTATCAAAATCAGCAGAATTAAGATAATGCTAGTGGAATATGTAATATTGGATATTGTTATATTAATATTTAATTTAGTTCTGAGTTTTTACACTTTAACATTTTGGGTTGATAAATCCAAAAAACATAAAATGAAAAATTTTAAGATCAATTAATTTTTTCATCATATATATTTTAATTAATAATAATAATCAGTTTTGTGATTTTATTGATCGATATACAAATCATATATCATATGATTTATCTGCGATACCTAAGAAAACTAGTATTTTTTTTTAAAAAAAAATTAAATGTTATATTTGTAAATTGGATAAAACTATTTAAATATTAAAGCTTATATATAAAGTTAGGATAATTTGCTTTAATAAAAGTGGATAATATTTGTAAAAAGTTTATATTAAAGCTAATATAACCTCTATATATATTGTTCGGGGTCCTGGCTCACCCCCTCCAAAAGATTGGCATTGTTTACATCTTCCTAATTCAGATGTACTCAGTAGAATACAACCACGTGTTTGTTTTGTTTATCAATATGGTGCTATGATATAGGGAAGAGATTGGTGTCTCCATTTAGGAGATACCTAAGTTTTGTCAGTGCCCGGAACGAGTTCTTTACAATAAGGTGATGTTTTACAATCGAGATATATTAATTAGTTGCAATTATTATATAATTTTTATTCTTATGTCTAGTATAGGCTATAATAGTGTGTCATGGCTACCTTTTTCTTTTTTTTACTTTTTTCATCTTTGTTCATTTATGTTAGATTATTTTAGAATTTGTTAAAAAGTTTTTTTTTCCCACTGTGAGGTGTTTTTTTTCTAAAATGTTTATGTTTTTCATAAATATGACTTTATTTTTTTTCACTTTTATGTATGAATAAGGGTTTAATTATGTTGTCAGGCTTAGGTGGAAGAAGTCTAAAAGAAGAGAAAAGTGGTCATAATGGGCGGTAGGTACTATCTGTTGAGAGCCGGGCCATATCCAATTGCAGGAGGGGTTTGGAAGAAGAAGAATCCTACTATAGCAGGTTGAACATAGGTACTTATTGAGCAACTGGGTTAGTCTTTACTTGTAATTTAGATATAGTTGTGTGGCTCTCAGGCATGACACATGTCGTTTAGAGATAGTTTTTATACACTATTTGCCAACATGATTAGAGTTTATCACTCACCAATAAGTCTCTCTAAAATTTATAGCTGCCGAATTATTAAAAAAAAAAAAAAAAAAATTAATTGACAAGATTGATTGTCTTAGTAAAAAAAAAGTTTTAAATGTAAGCTTACCATATTTCTATCAATAGTAAACTTTATTTATAAAATTTTGTAAATCCCCTCTAGTTGACAAATAGATTATCAATTAAATAATTACAGTTAAACATACATAGTATTTCTTTTGAAGCACAAATATTAAAGTAAACAAAATCAAACTTCATACTCACTCTGATAATTTACTAAATAATTTTTTTTTTTTTTTTTTTTAGTATTAAGATGATCTTTATTAGTTGAGTAACTTTTTATTAGAATATAGACGGAGTTTTATAATATAATTACAACAATAATATATTAAGCCATATGTGTATTTTTGGTGTCTAATTTAAATAATCTGTCTGAAGGTTCTACACTATCTGCCATACCTGTATTCCAACTATGGGGGTTGCTTATTTAAACTATCTGGTCCTAACTACCTCTATCCACTCTCTAACCCAATAACCAATAAGTTTTCTTACTAAACTAAGTAGATATTGGTATTACCCAAACTAGATTTTGCACCCTGTCTTAGGACTTACTAACCCATATAAACCTAGTCTATTCTTGAGATAAACCTAACAGAGTGGTACATATCCCATACATGTATTCACCTGCATGTTCTTATAACTTCTTCCTAAATAATACATATTGATTTGCCATTCTGTATTTGTATCTCACACCACTTTTTGGAATGCTGTTATTCTATGGATTTTTTTCAAGCACCAACCTTCCTAATTAGATGCCCATTACATACTGTAGGTTTCCGAAAATAAGCTACCCTTTTTTGGCCAAAAAATTACACAAAAATCATGGGGTAGCTTATTTTTGATACAATTAATTTTATCAATTTTTATTAACTTTTTATTAGCTACAAGTAGTTGCTACATATAAAAGTTAAAATTCTACTAAGTAAATTGACAAAAGTCACTTAATAGTGATTGTTCAGGAGGTAAAAATATACCTATCATGAAAGTTTCAAGCAAATTAGAGAACTTTTTACTAAGATGTTTTTGCATTTTACGTTTGAATGTAAAATACAAAAACATCTTAGTAAAAGTTCTCCAATTTGCTTGAAACTTTCATGATAGGTATATTTTTACCTCCTGAACAATCACTATTAAGTGACTTTTGTCGATTTACTTAGTAGAATTTCGACTTTTATATGTCGAAACTACTTGCGGCTAATAGGAGTAGCTTATTTTCGAAACAAAGGTGTTTCTTATGTTTTTTCTTCAAGAGAAAAGGGGGTAGCTTCTTTTGGAGGTTGCTTATTTTCGGAAACATACGGTATGCGAAGAAATTAAGAGTCCATCGCTTCGCTCCAGACAATTATAACCAATATCTACCAACTTAAATTTTCTTAGATTACACAAAAATTGTTATCACCTGATTTAGGGACGATGATTTCTGTGGTGACAAAATGTCAATTTCCGTCCGTGATAAAAGATGATTCTGCAATTGGCTAGAATTACGTAAAGTCGGCCAGCATTATAATCCGCAAATTCTGGCCAAATTAATGTCAGCCAGCATTATGATGACTTTAGATCCTAAATCCAGGCCGAGATTTAAAAATGATCATTTTTAATAGTAATCACGTTGTAATTATATGAAATCAGGTCAGGGATGAGCTTGGTTCAGATCTACGTTCGCCCTATCCTTAAATTGTCCTGATTTGAATAATTTAAGGGATAACGATAATGTTAATAACAAAATAGTTGATCAAAAATAAATTATAATGCAGGTATTATTATGTATAATACAATATTTTGTCAATTTGATAAATAATAGTTGGACTTCTAGTACCAACCTTTTATTCTTATCAAAAACGAATATTACACTAAATTTAAATTTCGAAAAATTGGATAACAACCTTTTACGAATATACATAAAAATTTTTGCTAAATGAGGTTTATGTTAGTTGCACCAGTATTCTGATAATTGTAAGCCATATCTTAACAAAATATATATTTATATCTATGTGTGTAAGAATATAATAAATCCAAACAACCGGATGTAAGCCTTATTCTCTTTATTCCTAACGTATTTATAAGCGTTTTTTCAACAACCACCTATTTAAGAAATCTAAACTGGGACCAGGTTGATCATAAGGGACCATATGTCCTGCTTCAAAAACTCTCAAAAAAGTAAGTTCCTTGTAGGATCTAGATTCACCTGCATACATTGATTTATCACCTTGTAACTTCCAACGTTTAGTTTTTGCATCATTGAAACCTTGCTTGCCGCTCCACTCTAATTCTTTTGTCCATGCATCGTTCCCTGAAGTACATAATAGCGATATGAAATTATTATTTAGGCGAGAACAAAGGTAAAATATTCAAAGGATAATTCAGACATACCAATCCAATTACAAATGAAATCTGCATCTCCCGCATATATTAAAATACGTATACCATTTTCCAAAAGAGATGGAAGTAGAATATGAAAAGGTTTCATTCTTAACAAAATAGATTACATTAACATCCAGTAAGAAGTGTGATATATCTTAAAAAAAAATTATACAAAACTTACAAATCACCAGTCATATGAAACTTAAAATTGACCCTTGAGCTACAGATTTTATACTGAATCCAAGGATCAGCACCCAGTTCTTCCCTAACATTTCCTCTGTTCAAATATTGTTCAATAATTCCAATGTCTGAATAACACAAATCTCCGCCTTCACATTGTTTTCTCACATCATAAGGATTTCTGCTAGTTGAATAATAAGGCAAGACGATATGCCTGTTACAATACATTGAAGCAGTTAAACAGGTTGAAATGACACCATCATAACATCTTTTAATCATATTGGCGCAAGTTGGATAAGCATCACGCATTTCGTCACAAGTCGAAATATCGAGTACTGGACCGTAGGATGAATTACAAGCCATATCTGGATAATATTTATATTGAACCAACGGATCGACCATACCATTACCGATCAAAATGGATTCTAGATTTATATGCAAAAGGGACTTTGGTTTTTTGTTAAGAATCCAGGGTGAAGTTCCCTGATTGTTATTGTTAATTTCAGCAGCTATGGCAGGAATATAATGACCAGCATAACTATAAATAATATAATATTATCATTATCATTAACGATTATACATTCTATTTTAAATAATAGTCATGAACACTTACGATTCACCAGCAACGTGAAAGTCCAGGTGTGCATATTGAGGATGTTCTTGGAAAAAAATTTGCAGAAATGCGTAAACATCAATGGATGCCGCGTGGGTCGAACTCACTTTGGAACCATGAGAATATCCAACATTCATAGGCTAGATAAATATTAAATGAGTTGTCAAATATATAAACATTAATTACTTATTGTTTATAATGATACAATACTTGATCTAAGAAAATTATGCTAGCATTAGAATTCCATGAATAAGGATTGAAAGTAGTGTCGGCTCCATCTTCATTGACTGTGCAAGGTCCAAGTTCAAAAAACAAGCCAGCCAGGGAAGAACAACTATGAATACATATGGATGATATAAATAATATAATCGATAATACGGAAATAATAATAATAAATGATGATTCAACTAGCACTCTTACCCTGGCCCACCATTTAGCTATGAAAAGTAATAGTAATATTAATTTATTTACATGGAATAAAGTAAATAACATCGATATAAGGTACTTACCCAAAGAACAATAGGATCATTTCTTGGGTCATTTCTAGATTCAAAGAACCAAAAAAAGAAATGTTTCTTTCTACTGACATCAAGATATCCAGAATACTGAAACAAAATATGATTATAAAGTTTATTAAAAATTCTACAATTCATAATTATATATTAAATACATATATAAACCTGCTGAACAGAAGCATCACATAATTTTGGTTCATTTAGTCTAATTTGATAATCAGGAAAATCTTAATGACTCAAAATTTTAGTCAAACTACCATGACCCAATTTATTCTTTACTGGTAAATAACCACTAAATTTTTCTTTTAACCAATTACTGCTAGCTTTTACAAAATCATCTTGTTGAATGAATTGTTCGGCCAAGAAAAAAAATCCAATGAAAAATGCGATTAATATAAACACGAAAGAAATAAAACGAGGTCGTGAATTAAAAAACAACATATTCTTATGACAATAATGAATCCATCATCATTTTATGCTGAACATATGTTTATACAAATCTAGCGGATATTTGTGTGACATCTTCGGTTAGGAAAATATGTGCGCCAATCAAAGATAAAAAAGCTCATTCATCTTTTTTGACGGCGTTAAACATATTTGTAATGGTCGATAACGATAAAGTGACCTTTAAAGGTACATTTGGCGGTCTAACTCTTAAATTTTATTGATCTACATTATTTAATGTCATTCCAGGTGATATTATTTATATACTGATAACAGGCGAACTCAAGAATTTTTTGACAGCAAAAAATCATACCATTTTTGTACAAGTTCATAAATTTTTTCCGGGCCCTGACTATTAAGTTAAATTATGACATTTACACGTGTGTCAGGGAACCTGATTTAATTAAGCCATAATTTGAGCGGCAAAAGTTTTATTTGTTTGACATGTGTTTGTATTTATAAATCACGTGAATGTAAATCGATAAATTTGAAACAAAAGTAATTATGGTGATTTATTTGATAACACCTTATACAACAAGTATCAGCTTTATATAGATTATAGCAATATTAAGCATTGTTAAATTTATGAATGATCGTTAAAGAATCCCATAGTGTCGTGCCGTGCCACCATTTCATTTCAAATATAGTCCGGTCCTTGTATATCCTAAACCTTCTTATTTTCTATTGTATTTATTCTGTTGTCTAATCTAATAATACTAATTATATGCACTATTTTTATAAATGAGCCATTATGTTCTAATCCTTATAATAAAATTATAAATTCTCTATGTCAAATAATATTTTCAGATTGTTCAATTGTGACCCGCCATCATTAAACGTTACCAACACCTAATTGCATTATGATTTATATTAGGTATTGAAACTTTTTAAATAAATATATAATTTTCACCAAAAAAATATCTACGCATTATAATTATGACTTAAGCCTATATTATGTAAACTGAAGAAACGTTCTAATCATGATCAGTAATGATGGAAGAAAATAATAATACACAAAAGAGCATTGAAAATACTACCTTGATAATTTTTCGTTCCACGTAACGAGAAAGAATTTCTTCATGTATTGTGGATCTACAGCGAAGGGTAAGTTTCAAAGGAGCACGCAATTTTGCTGCACAACTTTCAAGGAATGATTCCAAGGATTCAGTGGTGTAAACATAGTTTGCCGGTAGATAAATTTCTCGTAAATTTGATGGCAGATATTTTCCAAGCTTTTTCAACATATTACTGATCTCACAACGTGTGAGTGAATATAGACTGATGTGAAATTCTTCTAGATTTTTATGCTTCTCGAAAAATTCTGGAATTTTTCCAATTTCATTGTCATCGAAATATCCATGGTAAGCGATCAAGCGTGGACAACTTACGAGAATAGTTTCGGTGTAAAGGTTAAAATTATCTTTATCTATAGGTTTTGTCCACACAATCCTAACAGTGGTGAGATTTCCACATGTATTATTTATTAATTGAACGATAGAACCAATATGTACATTCTTGATCGCAAGGAAGAGATTTGTGAGTTGAAAAAATTGCCAATTGACAAATTGACCAAAAATATCTCTATGCAAATCGCATCCATCTTCTATAAATAAGCCTGTTAGATTTGGACTATGACCAAGAATATCTAATGGAAAAAAAATTTGTCTAATCATCAACGCGGAAAGATCTTTCCCTTTATTACGTAAGGAATTCCTTATTTTAGGAAGATCAATTCCATTTTGCTCAAATTCAATTGAAAGGTTTTCTAAATGTGTTTGTTGGTCAATAAACGTAGCCAAACCTTCGTTATCGTAACAACAACAAGCAATTGAAAGCACTTTAACGAATTTGCATATCTTTGCCGCACTATTTAAAATATTTGGATCTAGACATCCATGAAAATCAAAATGGCGAAGATTCGCCAGTGCATCCGAAGCTCCAGAAAAACTTGGCATATTAACTACAGGATATATAGGATATTCGCCAAAATCATTCAGATGATTATAAGATAGCTGTAATAAGTTCGTGCATCTTTTCATAAATAACTTGCACAATTCTTCAACAAAAATTGGATGAGGATTCGTTTCATTATTTTCTCCTATAATGTCCGTCGAAACATGTACATCTAACCACTTATTTACAGAACTATATAACCATTTATATTGTAGACTTTGTAAAAATGAAGGATAGTCAAAATTTGAACGAAATGTTGGTTGAATGATCGATGAATTAATCCCGAGCTTGTTTAAATTGATCCTGGATTCTTCCGGCAAACATGAAATATAAGTTGACATAAGATGAATATGTTTATCCCCATAATTATTTTTCTGATATATCCAATTAAATGTTCTACGCCAAAGTATTGGAATGGCAACATTACACCAGTATTTATTCACTAATATGATAGAATGAAGATGAGTGAAACTATTTTTCTCTTTGCCAATTTGGCTATAACTGAATTCGTCAAATATTTTGTAGAGACATTCTGGTGGCAATTTCGAAACCATAATCGTCGACAAGAGTCACAATAATTAATCTTGTTAAAATTCTAATTGATATTCGTCCTAAACATAAACGAAGAAAAAAAAATTCAATTAATTATAACATAAAGAACTACAGTTGTTCCAAAGAAAAAATATTACAGGTCCCATTTTTTTTTCATATTGTTGTATAAAAAAAAAGGGATCAATTTCGTGTCTTTAGAAATAATTGTAAAGGATTGAAGCTTTAAGATTTACACAATAAAAATACTATTGTGTAAACGGTTCGAATAGAATTAATATGATAGCTTCATAACGTTTTTGTCCAAAGAACATCCACTCAATCTTATTTAATGAATCTCTTGAAAAATATTTTTTAAGTTTCTGATATTAATGTTATTAGTTACTTACTACTGAAATTAATATATATAAAGTTTTGTTTTGTTTCACACTTTCACAGAGGGTGCGATTTTCCAGGAGAGAGAAGATTATCACCTGCCGAAAGTCGCAATTTAATTTTTTTTATAAATTTATATGTGGTCACATGATTCATGTACTGGCACTCTTGGAACGATTTTATTGGTTAAGCATGAAGGTTTCTCACGTAATCATAAACCAAATCATGGGGAATCACTGCATTTTCTGTTCACGTGGTGAACATTTTTATGACGATATGGGGTAGTTTTTATGCTTAAAATCACATGCAGATGAGTGTTGGCGAACTACATATACGCCCACTAGAACGTGTTAAAAACCAATGAAAACCATTTTAGTAAAAAATTTTTTTTTTCAATTAATGCGAAGAAAATCCATTATTATATAAATCAGCTTTAGTAATTTTCCAAAATCAGCAGATTTATTTTAAATACAAGTTGTGAGCTTTTTTTAAAAATTAATTTAATTAGATTTAGGGTTTCGTAAAATTTGATCGTGTATCTGGTATTTAAAATCCTAACAGCTTAAATCTAATTAAATTTAGAGGATTTAAAAAAAACCAAAAATCCGCCGTAATATCTATTTTTATTTTGCAACTCTTAAACTCTTGGTTGACTCAAATTACTCAAATTTGAACATAATGCACCTTTTAATAAATAGTTAAACCTCTATATTACTATAATTATAAGAAATATGGTTTTTATTTTTAATGTTGTATGTAAAAATCATATTATCAACAACATTTAATAAAATGTGATTATAACAAAAATTCGAAACGTCATTACGCAAAAAAAAAAAAAAAAAGAATGTACCCAAACAACGAAAAAAAACATCTAGAAATATACCAAGCCCTATCAAAATGATTAAAAAAAGCTAACAAAGCCCAATGCTCAAAAAACGCCAAAAGACTATCGCACTTAACGAAATAATAAATATACCGAAACAAAAATACTGCTGGAACTCGACAAAAATACACATCTAAAGCCAAGTACTGATGAATACCAAAATGCCTAAAAAAAAAAACTCAATAAACGTAATTAAATATTGTTGCGTAATCATACACAACGAAATCGCTCCAGAAACTCAAAATCATACTAGCAGCAACTTTAACAACATCAAAAAATATACTCGACGATGATAAAACGGCACCGATAACGACGTTATAATAAAAAAATTACTATCAAAAAAAAAAAAACAATTAGTATAATAACATAATAAAAGCGTTCAGTATATTGGTATCTGTCAGCTATTATTTAGAATTAACCAAATAATACCCAGGCCACACGACGAGGACGTCAATACCAAAGTGACCCAAAAACTATTAAAGATTGCAAAACTATACCAAGCTTTCACAACCTGGGTTGTGAGAGCAAAAAAGTTGTACCCATCATCGAGAGATTCACTGTAAAAAAAAGTTAGTACTCTCTAGGGCAAGGGACCTTCCCAGGAAGGAGGGAGGCATAATCTTCCAACCCGTTCTTGACGCTCTTCTTTGCGCGGGTCAGTCAATGCGCTATAAAAGAACTACTTACCTTGAAAGAAATCCATATCTGGAAATCCTTCAAAAACGAAAAAAGTTAAAATAGGCGTAGCGACTGAACACAAGTGTATACAAATCGAAACACTTATCTTAATTAAAAGTTGATGACTTCAAAGAAATAAAAAAGGAAAGAAAGTAAACCGTATAAAAAAATACAAATATTATTAAGTGAAAAAAATAGATTTAATAAAGATCAATAAGAAAAAAGTGAACCTTTTTTTTATTTTATAAGGATTATTATCAGATCATTCCAGAATAATTTCCAGGAAATTAACCAATCAGAGAACGTGAATTTTAATTGTTTTGAATAACAGATACGTACGTACGTACGTATCAGGTATCAAGTATACAAAATACCAGATATCAAAAACGCGATTTTTACAGATTATACCATCATTATACCCAGATCAAGATTTTTGGGCGGGTCAGAGCACTAGTCGCATAAATTTCGTTTTACAAATTAATTAAATCAAATCGCGTTGCTACAGGACTTTATCGTTATATTTTACATTGTTATTTGGGTTGACCCAAAATTAGCCAATCATAATTGAGAATTATTTGTCGTTAAAATTTATTACAAGGTGAGTTTTTACAAAAACGTTCTTTTAAGTAGGTTAAAAGGGCTGTTTTCCTGAAAAATTACTTCCTAATTCGCCCTTACCCAATATACAACCGATAAAACCGATCGTTCACTACCCGAACACTTCAACAACTAGTGATAGTGCTTTCTTTTACGGCTTAATGTAGTTGTTTTTTAGTATTTACTGCTTGTTTATCTCATATAAAGGCTAAAAAGCTTTTTTTATTGGATGTTTCGTTTGTTATTCTTCGCGTCTCTTAATGGCAAAAGCTTGTGTAACTGTTTATCGCTAAAAATCAATATTAAAATTTACGTTCTCTGATTGGTTAATTTCCTGCTAGAATAATCTAAAAACGCAACTGAATTGTTCTCAAAACAATACGCGATGATAAAAAAAAGGATATAAAATTGATCTTTATTAAATCTATTTTTTTCACTTAATAATATTTGTATTTTTTTATACGGTTTACTTTCTTTCTTTTTTTATTTCTTTGAAGTCATCAACTTTTAATTAAGATAAGTGTTTCGATTTGTATACACTTGTGTTCAGTTGCTACGCCTATTTTAACTTTTTTCGTTTTTGAAGGATTTCCAGATATGGATTTCTTTCAAGGTAAGTAGTTCTTTTATAGCGCATTGACTGACCCGCGCAAAGAAGAGCGTCAAGAACGGGTTGGAAGATTATGCCTCCCTCCTTCCTGGGAAGGTCCCTTGCCCTAGAGAGTACTAACTTTTTTTTACAGTGAATCTCTCGATGATGGGTATAACTTTTTTGCTCTCACAACCCAGGTTGTGAAAGCTTGGTATAGTTTGCAATTTTTAATGGTTTTTGGGTCACTTTGGTATTGACGTCCTCGTCGTGTGGCCTGGGTATTATTTGGTTAATTCTAAATAATAGCTAACAGATACCAATATACTGTACGTTTTATTATGTATTATTATACTAATTGTTTTTTGTTTTTTTTTAATAATAATTTTTTTATTATAACGTCGTTATCGGTGCCGTGTTATCGTCGTTAGAGTATAATTTTTATGTCGGTGTTGGAATTGCTACTAGTATGGTTTGAAGGTTTTGGAGTGATTTCATTGTTATTATAGTAGTGTGCAAATTTTTGTTACGTTCATTGCATCGCTTTTTTAGGCAACTTTGGTGATTCTTTATCTGAGAAGTTTTTTTTTTTTTGTGCTTTTGATATACATGTACTAAATAAAAAAAGGCTTTGATCGATCACTAAACATAATACCAATAAAGTCTTTATATTATATTTCGACTTTTGATAACTTACTGTAGATGCAAACATGATATATTGAATAATTCTTATTGTTTCTGCTATATAAATCTCTGAACAAGTTCCTGCGAATGAATCCAAAGCTATACCGTGCAAAATACTCAATTTATCTTTTCGTCTAATTGTGATACTTGTACAAAATTTTGTCGTAACGATCTTTTTTTTGCAAGCTTTATAGCAATAATATAATCATCATAATTATTTCTTGATGCATCAATACAGTTCAAGAACGAAGGATTCTTGTAACCATTTTACAATAATTCTTCAATTCTTGTATAAATTCTTGCACATTTTTGTTTGAATAACGAGTCACTTTATGTGTAACATCCCACTGCGTATTATTAATTCTATCAAGCCAATTTGCTCAATATACAGTTGATTTACCTCATTTCTTTTCTTGATATTTCTGAACTCATCATAATCAATCCAAGATGATTTATATCTCTCATCGTCTAATACTCTCTTAATGGTTTATTAGTTTTCAAAAGACTTCTATATTTAGTGAACCAATAATTTGCCTTCTGAATGTTCTTTCTTTATACCAATACCGTTACGATAACATCGAGCAATGCTGCCAGTTGACGCTTTAACACCCATATTAGCAGCACTTTCAGTTTATTCAAATGCTTTATTGCAATCTTGATCAACCTCAATTCCACCTTTATAATAAGAATTAAGAATATATATTCCGTTAGCATGATCCAAATCAGCAGATTTCTTACAATATTCAAATGCTTCCTGGTAATTTCTTTTTACCCAATTCCATAATTATATCACTGTCTTTATTAACAGTTAACACCAATACAATGTCGATAATCGTAACCAAGATTAAAAAGTGTTCCGAGTCCATTTTGTTTTTTATAGAGAAAAAAGAACATGCACTAAATAAATGCAAACTTTAATTACAGAATTACAGAGGACATTTAATGTTTAGTTAGAGTAATACAAGCTACAACAATAAGTTACGTTTATCAAAACATCATTTTGAATGAGGTCATAATTGGGCTGGTTGGGCTGGAGCGGAGGGAAACGGAGTGTAAGTCCTACTAATTTGGGTCGATGTCCGGCTCCCACCCCTGTAATTATATAAATCGATTTTGAACAATCAAATCCCCTGTAA